TGTAAAAAATAAAACTCAAAACCCAAAACTAAAACCATACTAAATAGAGTTTTAATTAACATAAAGTTGATGGAGTAAGACAACTAAAGGGATTAGAAGGAGTGAACCAACTAAAAATTGAAATTTGAAAGTTAGGATAAAATAGGATAAAATCCTTCGACAATTTGTTCAAGGTTAAGTTTGTTTAATTTACTCTTGTGGTTTCTTTCATGATTTCTCGTGGTATGATGTTAGGCTACTACTTAAAATCATGCTTTAATGGCTGTGATTTTCAAGCTTTCTTCAGCGTCTATGCACTTTTGCATATTTTTTTAAGTAAAATTTTTAGGAAACTTAATCATGATTTGAAATTGGAAGGCAATGCATTTATCAAGAATGTAAACTATTCCATTAAGAAAATTTGGACAATGTCAAAAGTGTATCAATCTCAATATACTGTAAGTTTTATTTGTTTAATACTTAGAAACTATTTCAATAAGGTTAAGCACTTGAATTTATGAGCAACCTCAAGAGATTCTTATTATACTCCCAAATAAGAGATTCTTATTTGTAGTAGGTCTCACTCATAAATGTATAGCATTTGTTATACTTTAAGGTCTGGACATGACAATATAATGTGTGTGTTTATATATATTTTTATACTAAACCTTCAGTATTCAGAAACTGTATTGGGTTTTGACTAATGTAGAGTTGAGCTACATTATACTCTATAAAAGAGAAGCTTTCTCAGCTCTTATCTCCCAATTATAAGACTAAAACTCAAAACCCCACTTAAAAGAAATCGAGTTTCTTCTATTCGGATCAATAAATTGTTAATTAATGTATATATATTAATGTAAAAGGTTGAGCATCCTGCTTGTACTCTAAATGAAAGTCAATAATAAATTTAATGCATTTAGGGAGAGAGAGAGAGAGAGAGAAATCAAAGTTGCAAAGGGGTTTTCACACATTAGTATGTGTGGAAAGTATGTATTAGCTTGTGGAAAGTGCATATTAGCTTGTGGAAAGTGCAAAGAAGAAAGCTTGTGGAAAGTGCAAAGAAGAAAGCTTGTGTTAAATCATACATGCATTAGTACGTGTAGAAAGCACATATTTACATGTAGAAAGCACATATTTACGTGTAGAAAGTGCCAAGAGGAAAGTTTGTGTGAAACAATAATTAAGGTGTGGGAAGTGTAGAGAAGAAAGTGCAATGTTACATCAATTGATGAGATATACAATAAAAGATAAC